ACTTTCTTGATTCTGACCTTCTTGAAGGTCTTGCAAAGGTGTTTTCAAGAAGATGAGCTATTTACTTCCTGAAATTTATTCTCCAGTACTGGAATTAATCCAAGTGAAAATAAAGAAGGAAACAAAGAGTTCTTCAAAATGATCAGGAAAGAAATTACTTCTCGATTTCCTTTCATCTGCACAGTATATTTTAAACTGTTATTCTTCCAGTCCTCCACTTGAGCATTGATTTGGAGGGGGAAGCAGAGGAAAAAAAATCTGCATTTCTAATGTGTTTCATCCTGAAGGGGAAAGGAAGCGACATTGGACATTAAATCATTTACCCATAATAATAATAATAAATACTGTAAGAACATTTTTTTAAATTATTTTTAATTAATGCAGGTACCTTAATGAATGTGCCCCTGAGGTTAAATGCAGAAATGAATGTGCTGTGATTTGCCCTGCAGAGAGCAAGCTGTCAGCTGGGGAAAGCTATCTTGAGGGAACAGTCGTGTGAAAGCAGAGTGTGTGGTTTGGAGATGGCCAAGGTGTGAGAAGGAAACAAACAGGGAAAAGCAGCATTCCCCAAGGAGGGGAATTCCCCAAACAGTTCAGTTTTCCCTTTGAAAAGAAGGTGAGTTTGGGTCAAAGCTGCTCTTGCAGTGCAAGGAAGGGTCATAGAATCATAGAATGGTTTGGGTTGGAAGGACCTTAAAGATCATTCCATCCCACCCCTGCCATGGCCAGGAACACTTCCACCAGCCCAGGTTGCTCCAAGCACTGTCCAGCCTGGCCTGGAACACTTCCAGGGATGGAGGAGCCACAGCTGCTCTGGGCAACCTGTGCCAGTGCCTCACCACCCTCACAGCCAAGAATTTCTTCTCAATATCCCACCTAACACAGCCCTCTGTCAGTGTAAAACCATTCCCCCTTGTCCTGTCACTACATGCTCTTGTAAATAGGATGAAGTGACTTCTCCAAAATCCATATTTAACCTCAGGAAAGCCACCTTTAGCCACGCCATTTTTTTGCTGCGCCTTCCTGCAGCCGTGGTCCCCTGGCATGTCCTCCCTCCTGGCACTCAGCACTGCCCTCGCAGCCAGGACTGCTCTTGCAGGTTTGGAGACAGATTGCAGCGATTGTGGCGATGAGGTCAGTCTCCCACCAGGAGAGTCCGGCTGACAAGGCCATTTCAAT